CACTCTTTTCTTCTTTTCACTGGGTTTGATTTTTCTTTTAAACCTCTTCCACCCTCACTGGATGTTCAGCTAGCCATCTGCATTCAATTATTTTATCTTTCTCCTCGATGCTGCATACTGCATAGGCTCTTGGCCTCAAAACACAAAAAGCTCCAGGCACATTCTCATGTTCTTTATGGTGTGTGCAGCGCAGGCAATGCAGCTTTCCTGCGGATAAATTCTCTAGCTTCATATATCTTCAGTTACTAAAGGCACACAAGCAGATCTCAGCCTTGCCTAGAGGCACGCTAGCCACACAAGGCAAGGTCCTGAACATTCTTCCAATATTTCAAAATCACAAGTTTATATATTTTTTTAATCCATCACTCTAGGGCTTTTTTAGAAAGTAATACATTTGACTAAAAACACCTAAGCATTCTCCTGTCATGAGAAAGCAAAGATGATCACCTCCCAGATCTGTAATTGCAAGCAGAGCCTTGAACAACAACCAGCGAAGTTACTGACCGCTCTATCTATGAAGAACCCCAGCTTTAATTCTTCCGTGGCGGCATAACTTGATTCTGTGCCTCAAGAAAGCTTCCACTTTTGGAAATACGTTGAATATTATTTGTGTATCAATCTTACTGGGAAAAGAGAGGACAAAAGTTGTGGCCGTGAGCAAACCCCGCTCTCCTGGTGAGTCTGCTCGTCCATTTAGTGAGCCAGTCTGGTGAGGATGAGCCTTCGTCCCCACTTCATGCCAGCTATCTGATTTTCCTGTGTCGGCTAGATTTTTCATCTTTTATATTATATACACACAGGCAAACATCCAAATAGGAAACTCGTACTCGCAAAAGGAACCTGCTTCAGCTGTACCAAGATGGAGAGCGCATCAACTTCCCTACTCAGGTCAAAGCCATCACGACAGTTGTGTCACAGACCCCTCATTTACTGCACATGGCCCACGGGCACAACAAACCCAACTTCCACCTTTCCCAGAGATGCATCCCTCTAAGACACCAACAGCAAGGTTGTCTTGCAAAAACAACCCAGAAGGACTGATTGTGGAGGCTGTGACCCTGGCTAACGCTCACCTACCCTGTCATGTGTGCTGCCAAGCTGTCCTAGCAAGAGCTCCTCCACAACAGCACTACCTGAGAGCAGATGCCTTCTTCGGGCCTTCTCTTGGACAGAGCAGAGCTAAAAGGACGTGGGGATTGACTTGCTGTACAACTTAACAAAGAGGAAGCAGGAAGACAATAGTCTCAAATGGTTCTCATTTTTCAGTATAAATCCTTTAGCCACTCAGCAGGGAGTTCTACCAGCTCCCTTATTTCATGCCACTCTGACTTCCACATCAATCATAGAATCATGGAATGGGTTGGGTTGGAAGAGACCTTAAAGATCAGCCAGTTCCAAGCCCCCTGCCATGGGCAGGGACACCTTCCACTAGACCAGGTTGCTCCAAGCCTCATCCAGCCTGGCCTTGGACACTTCCAGGGATGGGGCATCCACAGCTTCTCTGGGCAACCTGTCCCACTGCCTCCCCACCCTCTCCACGAAGAATTTCTTCCTGATATCTAATCTAAACCTCCCCACTTTCAATTTAAACCCGTTACCCCTTGTCCTGTCACTACAGGCCCTTGTAAAAACTCCCCCCCCCAGCTTTCTTGTAGCTCCCCAGGCACTGGAAGGTGCTATAAGGGCTCCCTGGAGCCCTCCCTTCTCCAGGCTGAACACTCCAAACTCTCTCCCTCTGGCCCCAGAGGAGAGGTGTTCCAGCCCTCGGAGCATTTCCGTGGCCTCCTCTGGACTCGCTACAACCGGTTGGGGGCACCAGAGCTGGACACAGAACTTCAGGGGGGGTCTCAAGAGCAGGTTAGAGGGGGAGAATCCCCTCACTCGACCTGCTGGCCATGCTGCTCTGGATACGGTTGGCAAACTGAGCTAAAACAAGATCTCATTCTTAACTGATAAAATAAGAATTTCCATCCAGAAAATGCCCTTAATAGTCTCCTTTCAGCAAGCAATGAGAACAGACGTGATTCACGACTGACTTCTACAAGCAGCACAGTACATCAACAGCAGCAACTTCTGGACAACGGTAAGGAGGTAAGACGGCATTTATGCTACATAATTAATGTTACAAGCGCTATCACTTGGCAAATCCTCATGGTAACTCCATCTAGGAGCAGTGCAATTACCTTCAGTGCTCCTCTTATGGGAACAGCTTTAGAGTTCAGACTTGGCTGACAGGTAGATGCTCCAAGGTTTCAGTTTCCAGAAGAACTACATGGAAAATCATAGTTGTCCTTAAAAAGGTACGTGCCTACACTAAACTCTTTTTGTAGAGACTTAGAAGTCCTCTTGTACACTTTGACAGCTTCTGGGTAGTCTATTTACAAATAAGGACTAATTGAATTCCACCCAGAGCATTCCACGCCAAGGCACATTACCGGCACCACGCACAGCTTCTTTTAGGCAGGCCTTCTGGAGTCCTGTGATTGACAAGGTCTCTAATGAACTCTAATTGAAGACTCGGCAGTCTGAAAAATGCAACAACAGATGTGGTAAAAGGGCAAACCACAAACTGTTTTGCTAATGAATGAAAAGTGTCTGGTCTGATGAGGGCCAGTGACCCAAAAATTCTCTTCTTCCACCCAACCCTTTACATGTTCAAGTTTGGACCCTTTCCCTGGTCAGCCCAACACTTGAGGGCAGTAATGCACAGCCTTGAGCGTATTCCATATACTCACACTGGCACCAAGATGCCCTGTTATTAAAAAGCAGCAGCAGAGCATGGCTTTGACAGAGTAAAAGGGACCTCAGGGAGCTAACTGAGTGTGGTTATCCTTCCCAGCAGGAACTCAAGTCTAGGAAGTAGATGTTAGCTTCTCACTGTGTTAGTTTTGGAAAACTTTTTACATACAAAGACATTTTTAAGTAATCTTCATCTCCTTTCAGTGGATCTTAAGCAAGCATCAAAAGAGTAGCTACACTCGCCAGTCTGGAGATCAACTCCTGTAAGATGACTACGGTAAGCTGAGCTGCAAGCAGACTTCAAGTAATAAACTACACTTCACACCAACACAAAATTATGCGGGCCTCTGCTTCATGTCTACTCCAGCATGGCTGTGTAATGAAGCAAGGAAACCAAGCACAAAGGAGGCAGAAGTCAAGGTGCCATCTTTTATAATTCTGTCACAAATTTAATGAATCTGCTCATGCTCATCATGCATTTGGAGCCTGACCTTTTACTTCAAGGAGGTTATTGTTTGGTAAAGGCACAGGAAACAGAATAAAAACGTCAGCTGTAAAGGTTTGGATGAAACTTGCCAAAAAAAGGTCAAAAAACTATTTGCTTGAGTCTGGCTTATGATGTTTTTGAAACTATTACAGGTGGCAGTGCAGACACTGCTCTTGTCTAACTGGAGTGTAGAATTTAGCCGTGTGGAGGTCAGGGTGAGTAGCTGCAGAAGAGGTCTACGGATGTCTCAACAATAAAGAAATCATACTGAATTTAACAAATGATTTCACCACTGCCCCAGAGAAGGGACTGCAGTGACTCGCGTGGGAATGGCACAGACCTTCCCTCCTAACAAGCGTCATTCAAAGAGGTCTGTTTCATGTTACACTCTCAATATGAAAAGAAGCCCAGCGAGCGTGTTGCTGATGGAAAGCATGTAGAGCACTAATGAGCACCATCCAAAAGTAATTCCAACCTTTAGAGGTAACCAGCAATTTTCTGAGTCATTAAAAAAGCCTCATACCAATTATACAGTCAAGCTTACCATAGCTCCCCAAACAATTCATTGTTGTGAACAGTCCTTGGGGCTGCTCAAACCCCAGTATCCACTCAATCCTCCAAACTTCATCAGAAAACCAACCGTGTCACACGAGATCATATCAACGATTTAGTTATTCTGTGTCCTACCTCCAGCAACAGCCACAAAAATGATGCTTTAGGTTGCCAAGAGTTATGGTGGCACAGATGTAGCCAATTACCAAATGCTTTCAAGAAAGAGAAATAATCCCTTCCTGCAGGGAATAATTTCTTTCCTGACCCACAGAGCTTTCTTACCTGCACCATGGCTTACGTAACTGCAAGCAGTACTTAAATACAGCTCAATAAATTTAAGTCAGCCACAGGTTTTGACCATGGGACTGCCCTCAAGTTTGCCAACACCACCTTCAATACCACAACAGGCTTCCTCAACTTGACTTTGACCTGTTAAGCAGCTGCTCTTCTGCATCCAAAAAAGATGACAAACAGCTCAGACGCAATTTGAACAATTTAATTAAGAGGTACTAGTTCAAACAGCTGCTGTGTGCAGAACAATCAGCTTTTAGGGTCTCTGGGACAAGGTTTGCCAACATCATGCATAAAATTCTGATCTGCCACAGAAAAGGGATGTAGTTCTCACTAGAGTTAAGAGGAAAGGTTTAATTCAAAGGTCTAGCAGCCCTGTTCTAGCCGCAATGTTCCTCTCTCTGCAAAAATTTAGAAGCTAAGGTCAGAAAAAAGTCCTATATTTATACTAGACAGTAGAAACAAGCTTTCCCGTACAGCAGGTTCTATATAGATTAAATCTGTATTTCAGTAATACATTAGGTTACTCCAGGGGTAACTGTGCCGCACGCAGTTTTCAGGGAAAGCAGACACCAGCAAGCCTACCACAGCCCAACTGTGCATCACAGGATGTGCAGCTAAATCCTGTACAACTACTCGGGAGCACAGGCATCCTCCCTACGTTAGTTTTCTTCATTAGCAGTTTATAGAAGGAAAACAGAAGTTTCAGAGGCAAGCAGAAAAGCGGTATCAGGCACAGGAGGGTGGGGTAGTTTTTCCTGGATACTCACTGGACTGCAGAATACCTGGTATGGCATAAATTATAGACTGGGGTGTTCTCCAGAACCCCAGAGTTCTGACGTATTCTGTCTCAGTCTTTGAATCTTAACACACCAAATCTTTGTCACACCCAGGACTTGGCCATTACTTGGTTACAGCGTCCAATACTCACCAGGTCAATGAGGTCACTGAGATTCTTCTCTATCTGCTGCGGAGGCAGACGCCTCATCAAATCCAAGGCACAATCCAGCTGCTGGTCACTCTGCAGAGACAAGAACATCCCTCCGTCACAATATGCACAGGTAATATACCACATGCACACGCAAGAAATGCAGGGCTTGCTGACTCCTCTGAAACGAGAGAGACTAAGCAGCAGCATGTTTTCTATTAATACAGACAGATTTCAACGAAGTTCAGTACCATTTGACTGTGGATTATTGACGTGGTATTGCAAAAAGCATTCTAGACCATGGATTTAAGAGGGCAGTTTAAACTGGGCTCATGCCACCAATTTAACACCATGCTGTTGATGGAAAGGAGTCCAGTCCTTGCCTCACCAAAACCCACTTCCAGTGCTTGGGCAAATGTTTAATGCATTGCTTTTCCATTCTGTGTCAATAATCTGGGGTAGGGAACTGAAAGTTCCTTCTCCCAAAGCAGTTTTAACACTTCCTCATCTGTATTGTGCTGTTCAGCTTGAGATAACCAGCATCCAAGCCAAAATCTGTTCCGACACAGAGCGCACTCTCCCTCCTTCAGCTACGGCCAAAACCAGAAAGAAACACACACAAAGTATGATCCATTATCCCCTTCTTGCTATAAAACACACACCAAGAGTTGCCTGTATCTGAGAAAACAAGGACTTCAGTTATTTTGAAGCAACAACATACTCCAATAAGGTTTATTGCAGCTGGCCTCGCATCCAACTCTGACCAAAAAAACACCCCTTAAGCTTCACTTCAGAGTCTGAAAACAGGCAACAGACATTACCACAGACACCTGATGGGCTGAACCATGTTCCTGAAGTAACTTTTAGCTCTCCTACTCACCAAAAGATAAAACACTTCCTTGCACACCTAACAGTACCCCAAATCTGCCCGTTACTCTAGTCAGCAGGTGCCCAGGCAGCTGCAGCATAACCAGCTGTTTTTCAGTGCTTCTTCCCCTCCCTTTTTATTTTGTGATTTCTAGACACCCATACACAAAGGGCTTAGCTTTAATTTCCCCCTCCTGTGTTCTGCCAAGCTCCAAAAGTTCTGTTTAAGAAAGGCTTCAAAACTGCAGCAGTCAGTTACCCCATTATTCAAGTAGCAGCCCCCAGCTCAGGGAGAAACAGGAAGCAGAGTTTCCCGCAATTAGGCTATACCCTAGCAATGAGGGACGGAGGGAGCTCCCCGTTCAGTAGAGATCCATTAGGAAAGCTGTCCTTAAAAGGTACTACCCATTCACTATCAAAAGACAAATATTTTACAGCCAGCAAGTCAGACAGCCTGCTCTGGGGAAATCATGTATTTATTTCTCCCCCAGTTCAGGTTATAGGACATAATCTTTGCAAACTATTCCAGGTCTGCAGACAGGTAGGCACAAACTCCCATGTTCTCAATATAACGAGGCAATAACCTCCTGAGAATCTGAGCCTTCAGCCTGGAAAGCAGGATGCACCAACACGAAGACGGCCTACGCCTGCCCAGCTCCAGCTGCCGAGCTCAGGCAGGGAATCCTTCTCACCAAGTATTGTCTTTACCTCCCGCTATCTCTTACGTCAAGGAAGGAAAGCTGGCACGTGGTCACAAGGTCATGCTCCTCACTTTGGGATCGTGGGAACACTTAGGGAAGTGCTCCGTCCTCCTCTGCCAGCTGGAATTGTTTAACAGA